TATATATATATATATATATATATATATATATATATACACGTGTATATATAAAAGAAAACAAAATGACACAATGCAATCGCGTAAAAAGAAATGATATGTGCATATGAGCATATCGAACGACTAAGAACACGTGGCAAAGAACTTCTGAATAAACTTTCGTCCATTCAACGTTACGTTGAGTTTATGAATAATCTACGTAGTCGTCGTCATCGTCTAGAGTGTAGAATAGCACTATAACACGTATCTGTATATGTACATAAGTGCCTACTCCAAAGTATGTAATGAAACTTTGTGGAGTATGTACATTACAAAGTATTGCACTAATACAAAAAATATCATATTTGATTAATTTCATTTAATTAGGATTATTTTAATAATATTTTTATTTAAGTATATTATAGTAGTAATATTTAAATAATATAATATAAGTAATATAAGAAATATAAATAATATAATATAAATATTAAATTATTTTATTAGTAATTTTAATAATAATAATTTAATATTTCTTTCAATAATTATTTACTTAAGTTCATTGATTTAATTATTATTTATAATAATTTAATAATGATTAATTTTAAAAGATATTAAATCTAATCTCATTTTATTTTTAATTCATTAGATAATTTTATGATCTTTCTTTAATTGGAAAATATATTTGTTTTTTTCTTTCTTGCGATTATTAATCACTTTATTATTATTTTTTTTTTTTTTTCTAAATCAAAAAGCCATTGATTTTCTTCAATGTCCTATTATATTCTATTGATTATGCAATTGTGTTGATACGTTTTTGCGTTTGAATAACATCGTTAGCAGTGATTTTTTTCTTCCTTATAATTTTCTTTGATTTAATATCAAAGCACATGTTTCTAACATTAGAAGAAAACATTTCTAATATTAGAATGATTGCACGTTTCATTGGCTGCGATACAATTTCATACCACTCGTCGTATGATTTAAATAAAAAAAAAAACATTAAGAATTCGGCCTGTTGAATTCTCGTAATTGTATTTAAAACAAAGATTTCTAAGTTTTGGAAAGAATAATTTTATTTGACAAAGATTAGAGTAGAAGAGAGTTTCGGATGTCGCGGGAGGTCTTTTTAAAGGAAATTGCAACAAGAAATGTTCTAGAAAAAGGGCGTTCCTTACTAAGTTAAGGATTTCTTATTGGTGTTTCCACGGTGCAGTATGAGATTACACAAAATTTCATATTTTTTCGTTAAAGAAGTTTTCTACGGCTTGGCGTAATAAAATAGAAACAGAAAGTTTCTATGTTCAGTTTACCATCCTAACGTAAGAAACTTGTATAGAGAAGAGATATATTGAAGAGTATAATAATCAAGTTAGAATGATCGATCCTTAATTGGAAGAAAATATCTGGAACTATTGGAAATGGATTGCATTATTGCGGTCACTGCAATTGAAACAGAAGGTGGAAAGTTTCTCGAGGCTAACTGAAGTGTAATAGAGAAATGATGAGATATATATCTTTCAAAGAGAAAGAAAGAGAGAGAGAGAGAGGGAGAGAGAAATACAAAAGGATAGAAAAATAATAAAAAATGTAACTAGGTACGGGTTGTTAACCGAGACCTTTCTCTTGCTCGTTAAAACCCATTCCTTCGAATGGTAATTCCAAGGTTTTAGTCAAGCAATTTATCGTTCTTTGAAATCTTTAATTATTCATAAATAATTCATTGTGTACAAGTATAATACAAATATTATTTTGTATATATTTGATATGTAAAATTAAATAGAGAAATATAGAAAACTAGAAAAGTTAGTGTAATCGAGTGAACGATAGTTGTTATTTTACAAACTTTGTATCATAGGGAAGTTGAATAGGTAAAAAAAAACATTAAATTATTTAATTTTTAATAATAATAATATATAATATAATATACTATAATAATTTTTATTTAATATTTAAATATTTTTATTTAATAAAATAATTAAATATAATATAAATTTATAATGAAATATATTTGATTTAAAAAAAAAAATATAAATGATATCTTTTGTCACGTTGATGATAAGCATAATTATAATTTGTATGTACATAATTAATAATAATATCAATGAATTAATATCTCGGAAGTATTACGTAAAATAAGAAATAAGTGATTTATTAAATAATAAGAAGAAAAATGAAAAAACATATAATCATTTCTAAGATAATACGATTAGAAAGGTAGGATAAGACTAAGAGAAGTATTCTTAGAATTATTTCTTTCTTAGAAAATTCTTCCAATGAAATATGAACAAGAAACTTTTAACGTTAATGTGGTTTTTACGATATATAATATATTTTTCTAACGAAGTTTCTTTTAACCGAGTAATGAAAAGAATCAGTGTCGAGAATGTATCGAAAGGATATTTTACCTTCATTTATTTAATGAATAAATTTAATTTTACATTCACAAAACTACATGCTTGTACGTATATTTAAGCGTGTAGACGTGCATGGTGTAAAGTATAAACCTGAAAACAAGTTTCTAAACGTGTACAAAATTTTTATCAAGCTTAAATAATCGAGAGAGCATCATTTAAAAATTAAAAAAAAATAAAAATAAAATAAAAAAGAAAAAAAAAAAAAAAAGAAAGATTCAAAAGCCAATTTCTTTTTCCATTTCCAATTATAAAAGTACAAATTTTATCTCACAGAATTGCAAGTCCAATTATAAAAAAAGTGCAAAAAGTTTATGAAAAAAAAAAACAGAAAAAATGTCGTAAATTTGTAAAATGATCTAAAGAATTTTTTGGCACGAGAAATAAACTTTTGACTTATTCCGCATTATGTAACCTTTTTATTATTATTTTTTTCATTTTTTTCACAAAATAGATTACACTAGCCATTTTCATCTTTTATCTTTTCACCACTGAAAGAAAATCTGAAATGAATTTCTTCTTCGTTTTACAGTTAGAGATGTGAAAGCTTAGTGCAATAAACTTTTCTTGACTTTTAAATGCTTTGATAATCAACGATAGAGAGAAGGAAGAGATGGGGGTAGAAGGGGGCAGAAGGGGGAGAAAGGTTTAAGGAGAAATTATTGGATTATGTATCAAGCGAGTATTATGATCGTAATTAAGATTTCAAAAGACGTCAGATGATAAACCCGGAAGGGGTAGTTTTTAACTTTTGTTTTATCTTTCATAACGTTTAAATAAATTGATATATTTATTCATGAATTGTTTATTAATAATCACGATAAAATGTATATATATATATATATATATATATATATATATATATATATAGTTTTTGTTTTAAACAAATGAATCTTATTTCATGGAAGTGATTAGATTATATGTTTAAATCTTTTGTGATTCACAAACTCTTGCCACCTAAACAGCTTCAAAAGTCTGATAAAAAGTTGTATTTAAGTTATATTAAGTTGTATTTATTATTATTAAGTTATTATTTTAGTTATTTAAATTATTATTTAGTTTATTTAAGTTATTATTTTAAGTTATATTAAGTTGTATATATTATTATAGTTATATTATGTTGTTATATGTAATTAAGTTGTATTAAGTTGACCAATAAATCTCAAAAATGACTCAACCTAGGAAAAAAATATTAATGTCATATTATAGTCTTGAATTTTGTAGACATATTTTTTTCTATCCACTTTTCTGTTATTATCACACTTTTCGAGCTATTTAGATGACAAGAGTTTGTGAATTATCTTGTATATGCTTGAGTCGAATTATCAAATGCAAGCGTTTGCAAAATTATTTGATAAATATTATAATAATAATAATAATAATAATAATAATAATAATAATATTAATTTGATTTTAATGTGAATTTAAATTGGATTCTTGTGTTTGTAGAAGTACAAAATAATAACATATTATTAACGTTTAATATGATGTTTAAACAAGCAATGAAACAACAAATAAAGCACAAATTTCCTAGAATTGAGTTTGCTTTAATTTGAAGTATATGTATGTATGTATGTATGTATGCGTGGGCGTTAAATTACGAGATAATAATTTAAGGTTTCTTTTACATAATAATGATAAATATAATATAACCACGTAGTGTTACAAATTTTAGTTAAAATTTGAGTTAATTTTGTTAAATAAGTTTATACGAAACTTTTAAACGTGTTTGTAATATGCTTGTCGAATATTACTATTTCAATAATTTAATTTTTATAATAAAATATATATAAATATTTTATGTATTTATGTATAGAAAATATTAATATAATATAATTTTAATTTTAGTTTAATAATTCAAATTTAAATAAATTTTTATATTTAAATAATATATATATATTATTTAGTAAGTTAATTTATGTATAGTATAAAAATATAAAATATTATTTTAAATTATTTTAAATTATTTTAAATTATTTTAAATTATTTAAAAATATATACACAATTATTATATTAATATTAATATTAATTTAAAGCTAAATAATATATAATATATGTAAGGTAATTGTAAGAATAGTAATTAGAACTCAACCAAGAGACTTACCTCTGCTGCCATAAAGGCGAAAGTATTGAAGGTCACCAAAAAGAAGACTGCAGCGGTGCACAACAAGAGCATAAATGTAGAAAGTGCTAGAATTGCTGCCAAAAGTCCAAGAAGTCGTGCATGACTCCATCCTGGTGTGGTCGGAGAAAAAGATAACTGTAATCAAATAAAATCGAAGTAAATAATATCAAGATTTCAAGGTTCTAAAAGTACTTCCTGTTGATTAACATAAAAGTAAAAGGTAAAATTATTTTTAATCATTCTTGAACAACCACACACATACATTGTACTTTTTTTTTTTTTTAATCTTACTTTAAAGTTTTATTCGTGTAAATGATGTTTAATACTGTAACACAGTGGTTCTTAATTTTTTCGAAGTCACAGAATATTTTTGATTAAAAGAAAAATATGCGGAACATCGAAATCATTTTAAGACGATTAAGATAATAAAACCAACAAAAAAAAATGTGCCTTAACATTTAACTTTTATATATTGGAAGTTATAGATTATACATTATACATAACATAATATAATATAACATATATATATTTAACATTTAATTATAGATATTTTATAATATTTATTAATAATTTATATTTAATAATATTTATCTTTATAGATAACAGATAATTATAAAAATAGTAAATAAAAAAAGATAACATAATTTAATAATATAATTATATAATAATATATATATATAATTTAAATATATTATATTTAATATAAATAAATAATTTAAAAAGATAATATTATAGTAAATATAATTAATTTTTATAATTTTAAATTATAAAGATAATTTAAAAATATTATATTAGTAAAATCTTAAACTTTTAACTATTTTCTAAAATTGTATTTCGTCAATTTTAGTGCGATATCTGAGCTTTGTTGACTTTTGTTTGACTTTTATCAAATTTCGCGAAACACTTGTTACAAGTCCGCTGAACATCGATTAAGAACTACTGGTTTAATAAATAATTACCTATACGTACTATTATCTATGTAAATTATCATAATTATCAAACGAAATCTAAGAATCATTAATCAATAATATATTTCTTGAAATTGAATCGCAAGTTATTAAAAAAAAAAAAAAAAAAAAACGTAAATAATATTTGCAAAAACTGTCTATAAATCAACACGATTATAAAAACATCCATTGAAATATATTCTCCTTATTATCATAATTATGTCATTGAATCTTATTAAAAGTTATTTTCCTATTAATGAGGTATACTTTTTTATTCTGATAAATATTTAAGAAACCAAAAAAAAAAAAAAAGAAGAAAAATCAAACGTTAAGTATTGGTATTATATAAAAATGATTAAATTAAACTGTTAATTAGCATAATTTATACGATGGAAAAAAACAAAAAAAAAAAAAGAGAGAGAATGTAGTAGAATGATTGAATAAAAATCGATCAAGTTTATGAATTATTTTACTTTTTCTTTTTATTTTTTTTAATTATTTCGTATTGTTATCTTCCTTGAAGAGAAGAAAAGATGCAACACGAACGGGTTACAATTGTGCTTTGGCAGGTCTATATCCAATAACCTCGTTATCTCTATTGGATTAACTTAACGGGATTACTCGGATCCTTACTTGGTTGCGTAACGGAAAACTGCGTTCCTCGGAGTGCTATAGTATAGTTAGTTGGCATTTAAAAGAACAGCTTGGCGTTTACCATCATCAAGATAAATACAAAAGCTGATTATAATACGAAGATCGATTAATCTATCAAACATTCGATAGATTTCGTTTTTCGTAACATCGTTCACACATTCCCCAAACACCTGACCTCACCACCGATTAATCTTCATCGATCTTATCTTTTTTATTTTTATTTTCTTTATTTTTTTTTTTTTATTTGTTTTTTTTTTTTTATTTTTAGGTTGAATCAATGCAATCAATCATTTTTATATTGAAACATTTTTAGAAATAGTTTCATTGATTTGTGAGATATTTTAATTATTCTATTTATTTTTCATATTATATA